GATCATCTTGTCTCAGTGCACCACTAATGCTCACTTTGTGATCTTTCAAGTCCATCTTACACCATGTCATTTCCTCTCATTGGGGATATATTATTGGATATATCTCACCATCAGTATCTTAGAAGCCTACACGTTTTCACATGATGGCTGTGATGATGACATGGTGATCAACTGGCCTTTCATAATAGTTTCCAACTCTAGACAGATGAATATTAATCTAGATACTCAGGATGACACAAATTTAATAAGCCAGTATTTCAAAGAATTACAAAGGTGAAAGTGGGAGCAATATAAGGACCCGCCCATGAGCCAAGGCGCAGAAAAAGTCCTTGGGACCCATATAGGGCCCTATCAGTAGTTGTATATGGCTGGAACACAGGGTGCCTAGAGGTAACTAATGAGAATTAAGGGTAATCTGGAGACAGTTAAAGTACTTTATACAACAGTATTGGACTGTATTTCACTAAGTGGAGAACAGGAAAGCATAAAGGGATTCAGATCAGAAGAGAGATATGGTAATACATAAAGACTGTGAAGTCCAGGGCAAGTGTAGTAGCTTACAGCTGTAATCACAACTACTCAGAAGGCAGAGTTCAAGAGGATTGAAGTTCAAGGCCAGTGTAAGTAAAAAGCTGGAGAAACCCAATCTCAACCAATAAAGGCTGGGCCTCTAGTATACACCTGTTATCTTACCTATGCAGGAAGCTTCAATAGGAAGATGGAGATTCAGGGAATCCTGGGCAGAAATAGGAGATCCTATTCCAAAAATAATCAAAGGAAGTGGTTCAAATGGTAAAATGTCTGCGTAGCACAAGGCAAATGTCCAAACCCTACTACTACTAAACAGAAAAAAAAAAGGTAGGCTGGGTACCAGTGACTCATGCCTGTAATCCTGTCTACTCAGGAGACTAAGACTTAGAGAATCTCATTTCCATGTGTGCCTGGTCAGAAAAGTCTATTAGACTCCATCTTCCACAAGTCAGCTAAAAGTCAGACTGAGCCAGGTGCCAGTGACCTATGTCTATAGCTGCTCTAGAGGCTGAAATCTGAGGATCATGATTCAAAGCTAGCCCAAGCAGGTAAGTCCATGAGGCTCTTATCTATAATTAACCACAAAAAAAACCAGAAGCAGAAATGGGGCTCAAGTGCTAGAGTGCTAATTTCACATGGAAAACTTTAAGGAACAGCACCCAGGCCCTGAGTTCAAGCCCCAGGACTGGCAGAGAGAGAGAGAGACAGACAGACAGACAGAGAGACAGACAGAGACAGAGAGACAGAGACAGAGACAGAGAGACAGAGAGAGACAAAGAGAGAGACAGAGAGACAGAGACAGAGACCATGAGAGAAGGGAGGAGAAAGAGAGAGAGAGAGAACAACAAGCAGTGAAATCCAGATTTAATTTCATCATTTACCCCTTTGTTCAATATTTATCAACTGCCTTTTTTGCTAGGCAGTAGCCTAGCTGAGGTACTCATATATATTTGCTGATGGAGGAATAAGTAAAACAAACAGATATGTGGATGATGAGTCAGTTATAGACACACCTTAGATGAGAGAAAAACACTGAAGAGTCTCTTCCAGAAAGGGCAGATTGTAGATAACAAGATTACTAATAAATTCCTTGTTTCTATGCACAAAGAGTTCCTTTGAGAGGAATAAACTATTTAAAGGACAAAAATCAAATACAGCCAGGTGCTAGTGGCTAATGCCTGTCATCCTAGTGTACTCGGGAGGCCGAGAACTGAGGATCTCAGTTCAAAGCCAGCCTAGGCAGGAAAGTCTATGAGACTCTTGTCACCACTAAACTACTAAAAAAGTGAGAAGTGGAGCTGAGGCTCAAGTGGTAGAACACTAGCCTTGAGCAAAAGCAGCTCAGGGACAGCACCCAGATCCTGAGTTCAAGCCCCAGAACTGGCACAAAAACATTAGAAAAAAATTCTTAATCAAAAAGAGTACTTTGGAAAATGAAGAAAATTAAAGCAAAAAATATTAAACAGGATGTGTCAAGAGAGAGGGAAATTGGAGAAAGGCTCATTATAAAGGAATAGTTGAAAACAGACATAAAAGAAGGGCAGAGTCAAGCAAATGTCTGGAGAAAAAATGATCTAGATAGTGAGGAAAATAAAATAAAGGTCAGGTGCTGGTGGTTCACCTCTATAATTCTAGGTACTCAGGGGGCTGAGGTCTGAGGATCACAGTTTGAAGCTAACCTGGGCAGACAAAACCATGAGACTCAAATACCTAAGGAACCAGCAAAAAGTTGGAAGTGGAGATGTGGCTCAAGTAATAGTGTGTCAGTCTTGAGCAAAAAGCCAAGTGAGACTGAAGTATTGAGTTCCAGCCCCAATACTGATACAAAATATAGAGAGAGAGCAAGCAAGCGAGCAAGAGAGAGAGAGAGAGAGAGAGAAAGAGAGAGAGAGAGAGGAAGAAAGAAAAAGAAAGATAGAATAGATATTACAACTGTTTCCAACTGTATGAAGTATTATAAAATACCATAAGTTTCGTTGGGAAAGAAGGAATGAGCAGCTGACCACTCCAATCTAATACCTATCAATAAATATTTTCTAATAGATGAATAAATGGATGTATGGGCCATGATTGGCTAACAAACCAGTCTTAAGTGAGAGAAAACCACTGAGATCCTATTCCAGAGAAAGTAGACTCCAAATAAAGGGACATCCAAGTCTGTACAGGGAGAAATGGTAGAAAAGCAGATTAACTAAATGCATACATATTTACCTGGACTAGCCCTCAGGTTAGGGTTAGCTTTAGTACATTATCTTGCTAAATAAAAATACAGACGTGAGATGACGGCATATTATCTTAGAGAACCAAGTACAAAATAGAGATAATCATAATTGCAGAAGTCAGAATGATTACTGCTAGTCTAATCCAAAAGATCACACAGCCTTAGAAATAAAAAGCAACCTTTTAAGTCAATCAATAGACTCACCTAATGTAAGTGGCCTGGCCAGGCTACCAGAATAGCAACCATGGCCCCCTAGCTAATTTAGCAGATCACATCGATAAATCATCCGCTGGACTTCCTCTTGCTTCACATTGCTTCAACCTTTAAGTTGTTTTCTTTTCTTGTTTTGATCCTGCAGTCCTTGGAACCACAATCAAAACATGTTTTAAAAACAAAATCCAATAGGTCCAGAGGCCCTGCAGACAATCAGTTTTCCAGTGAAGGGGCAGAATGTGTCCCTTGCTACAAGGTTGAAAAAATAAAAGCATAAATAAATTATTTTTAAAATACATAAAGCTCCCTTTCACTGGCATTTATATATAAGAGAATGGACTGCTAGGGTCATACTCCAAAGGCAACGCCAATAAAATAGCATTAAGTGAATGAAAGAAAATGCACTCATTTCTGAATGGTTAGCAGCTTAACCAAGCGCACTGAGTAGGACAGCCTAAAACTGGTTTCTGAACATAAAAAGTAGATGGAGAGGAGGATGGAACAAATGCCTGAGTCAAGAATGTCAAGAGCTGGAAGTGGAGCTGTGGCTTAAGCGATAGGGCATGAGGCTTGAGTGAAAAAGGTAAGGGACAACAGCATCCAGGCTCTGAGTTCAAGCCCCAGGAACAGCATAAAAAAGAGAAAGAAAATTAAGAATTCCTGATTGGTTTTAAGCCACAAAGGCTGGAAGAATAAAAACAAGTATATCCATTGTAAAATCAATACCTTATAACACCAACAAAAAAGAAGTTCTTCTGTTTGTTTTGTGCCAGTACCGGGGCTTGAACCCTCAAACTCAAGCACTCACTTGGCTCAAGGCTAGCACTCTACCACACAAGCCACACCTCCACATCTGGCTTTTTGCCGATGACTCTGAGGTAAGAGACTCACCTGTCTTCTGAGACTGTCTTCCAACTGAGATCCTCAGATCTCAGCCTCTTGAGTAGCTAGGATTACAAAAGTAATCGTTTTTCACGAGGGTTCCACTCATATTCAATAAATTGAAAGAACTCATTTCTAAAGATCAAATCCTATAAGGCTTTATAGAAATACCTCCTGGCCATCCAGACACCGCATCACTTTATCATTAGAGAGGAGGGGAGGGACAGAAAGGAATGTACATCCTTACATGTCACATACTTTTTACTCTTTGGTTTCTGAGGTTTACATCCATGCTTAAATACCAAAGGAGGCGCGTGGTGTTTACACCCAACACACACACACACACACACACACACACACACACACACACACACACACACACACACCATTGTTCCACAAAGGGTAGAAATGAGTAATTGCAGCCCAAAGTGACCACATGGGATCCAACACACTTTGTGCGCCTGTGGCATTTAAAATATCTTCATCTATCTGTCTGTCTATCTATCTATCTATCTATCTAACATCTATCTATCTACCTATCATATATCTATCTACCTACCTATCATCTATCATCTATCTATTTATCTCTATCTATCATCTATGTATCTATCATCTATCTACCTATCATCTATCTAATCTATCTATCTATCTATCAAACATAGTTTTATTTATAGTCCCAAACCATTTTATTTTCTAAAAGACTCCCCGTAGAACTGCAACCTGTTCATTTTATTAACCAAACCCAAAGACCAAAACCCAAGGCTTTTGCCTCCGGGCTCCTAGGCTAGGAGTCAGTGAAGCAGAAGAAACTTCAAGGTCTGAGGCTGCACGCCAGTCTCGCCGCCCTGGAACCCCAGGAGTTTGCGGGTTTCTGGGGAGTCTGGGGCGCCAGGCTTGGAGCCCCTCTGGGGCTGGGCATCCGGATCCCCCCCCTACCCCCGGCCCCGCGACACCCCCCACCCCGCCCGCCCGCCCGCCCTTCGCTTGGGATGCCCTCCCCGGGAAGGGAAGGAGGAAGGGCGCCTGGGGACCTGCGGAACGGGGTGGCCGGGCCGGGGCTCCGCGTCCGCGGGAGGCAGCGGGACCGCGGGCGGCCGGGGCCGGCGGCGGCGCTGGTGGTGGTGCGCGCGGGGCGCGGGGTCCGCGTACTCACCGCAGCGGGGGTGGCGCGCGCGGGCTCGGGGCCAACCGCGCGCCGGAGACTCGGGGGGAGGGAAGAGGGGGGCGCAGCCCGGGGCGCGCCGGCGGCCTGTCTGGGAGCCGGGGCCGGGCGGTGTCGCTGCCGCCGCTGCCTCTGCTGCTGTCACCGAGCTATAAATACCGGGTCGGCCCACGGCCGCCGCCTACGCCGGGCGCCCTCCGCGCCGGGTCCCGCCGCGCACCGCTCCCTCCCGCGGCCCCCCGGCGCAAGGGCGACGGCGGCGGCGGCGGCGCGCAGGTGACCGCGCGCCCCAGCGGCGCGGCAGCCTCCGCAGCTGGAGGCCTGGCCTCCCCGAGCGCTCGCGGATGCCCGGGCCCACGGCCCACGGCCCGGCCCGCCTCTGCAGAGCCGCAGCTGCAGGCCCCGGGCGACTTGGGGTACCGGGGCCGGGGGCGGGGAGGGGGAGGGCCTGGAGAGCCGGGGTCTCAGCCCGGGGTCCTGGCCTCCTGCGCAATCTGCAGAGTTCAGCACCCACCCACCACCCCGCGGGGAGCCTGGGAGGTGATCCCCCCCCCCCCCAGCCCAGGGTCCTCAGAGAGCTGCAAACTTTCTACTGCAGCCTCTTGGGGGGGGGGGGGGTCACCGGGCATCTTCCCCGTCCTGGGGTCCCGAGGATGGGGGGCCGGGGAGGGGAGGGGTGGGCAGAGAGGCAGCTCGCTGGAGGAGTCTTATACTTACTTTCAAGCTTGTCCGCCTGTCTGTCTGCCTCTCTCTCTCTCTCTCTCTCTCTCTCTCTCTCTCTCTCTCTCTCTCTCTCTCTCTCTCACACACACACACACACACACACACACCTACACAAGCACAGTCACACAAGCACGTTCAAAACCATACAGAAGTACACAACACCTGGAGTCACAGAATTATGCAGATGTGATGTCTGTGTAAACACAGACACCGCAAGCCCTGAATCGTTAACCCTTTTAAAGCCCAGAAGGCGTATTATTCTGTAGTGCTGACATGATTCTCTACAGCTCCCCAAGGCAAAACTTGTGACTGCTGTTTGATGAATTCCTTTCTTCCTGATCTGACTTTATTGCTGTCATATATATATATATATATATAATTGTATTATAGCATACTGTATACTACATATATTGTATATATAATTGTGTAAACAATATGTAATATATAGACTATTATCTATATGAGTGGATACATATTATACATGGTATACTAATATAATTGTATATAAGATAGTATAATGTGCAATAGTATGTATTGTATATATGTGTATGTAGTATATGCAATTGTATGTGTAATTATATAATATAATCATGTGTATATTGTATATAATTATATATACACTTATATATAATTGTGCATAATAGATAAATATATACATAGTATAATCTTATTATATGTACAATTGTATATATTATATAGATCATTGAATTATGTGTGTATATATGATGTATATTTAATGTTCTATACAATAGATATTGGTATACATAATATATTGTTTATATAATATGTAATTATATAATTATGTGTGTTGCTCCAACAGCAACTGCTACATCCATAGCAGTTGCTTGCAATGTGCTGAAAACAATTGTCTGCCATGTTGATACTTCATGGATAGTCTGTGCTCATGGGAATGATAATTAGTTTGTTTGATGAAATGGCAAATAGAATAATTGAGTAATTCTTACAGGCCAACAGTGGCAAATTCAGGAAGGACAGCCCTTTCCTGGACTACTGATTTAGAAATGAGTTGAATCCTAGTGCCAAAGGCTCACGTCTGTAATCTTAGCTTCTGAGGAGACTGAGATCTGAGGACTGAGGTTCACAACCAACCCAGAGAGAAAGGTCCATGAGACTTTTATGTCCACTTAACCAGGAAAAAGTTGGAAATGGAGCTGTGGCTCAAGCGATAAAGCACCAGTCTTGAGAGAAAAAGCAAAGCAAGCGTATGCGACTCTGAGTACAAATCCCAGTACCAGCACCAAAAGAAAGAGAGGAAGAAAGGAAGGAAGGAAGGAGGGAAGGAAGGAGGGAGAGAGGAAGGAGGGGGCAAGACTTGAGATGTAACAGGGAGCTAAGGTGTCTGCAGATCTTGAGACGGGATGAAGAGGACCAGTCCCAAGTTTGCCGTGTAGCAAGCCTGCACAGCAAAGTCACTACCAAACTGCAAACCACTTCACCATCTCTCTAGCAAAATTTTGAGGATGCCTACATATATCTACCTAGTAGTCATAGTTTGTAATCATTTTATGGAACCCTTAAGTTACCTTTTGTGATGCTTCATAAGGTTTTCTAGAAATAAGTTGTTACCTATGCTGGCACTTTGTACATTTTACTTACTTACCTATGCAGGCACTTTGTACATTTTACACTTATGTTGCATTGCTGTTGTTGTTGTTTGGGGAGAGCTTGCTTTTTATTCTTTTTTTTTTTTTTAATTTCTTGTGCCTGTACTGGAGCTTGAACTCTATGTCTCATACTTTTAACATAGCTTTTTCCACTCAAGGTTAGCATTCTACCACTTAAGCCACAGCTCCACTTCCAGCTTTTTTGGTAGTTCATTGCATATAAGAGTTTCATGGACTTTTCCTGCCCAGGGTGGCTTTAAACTGTGATCCTCAGATCTCAGCCTCCTGAATAGCTAGGATTATTCTGTATCCTAAAAAGAAAAAAAAAACACAAGACCAATATGCATGTCAGTGATTTGTAGAAACTACAGTGATGACCAAATTGTATCCTAAGTGACCTTTTTAAAGCAAGAGGAAAACATAGCGGGAAGCATCTGTCCCCTCCTCAGTTCAACATAGGGACACTTCGGTCAATGATTTGATGGACTCCAAGCAAATCTATCTTTAATCTCCAATAAGTCAATTGGGATGATGCTAATTGCACACTCTGAATAAACAGCATAATTTCTTTCTTGGCAAAGAGGCAAGAATAGAAATTTGAACATGATCCATAATTAACTTGTGATACATCAAGGGTCATGATTTTTTTTTTTTTTTTGGTCAGTCATGGGGCTTGAACTCTTGGCCTAGGCTAGATGCTGTCCCTGAGCTCTTCAGCTCAAGGCCCTCTACTAAGTGAGCCACAGTGCCACTTTGGTTTTCTGGTGGTTAATTGGAGAGAAGAGTCTCACGGGGACTTTCCTGCCTGGGCTGGCTTTGAAGCATGATGCTCAGATCTCAGCCTTCTGAGTAGCTAGGATTACAGGTGTGAGCCACCAGCACCCTGCTAGGGTCTTGAGCTTTATAGCAGGAATGTTCCTTCACAGGCCTCCCTTCAAAGATCCATTTTCATTGAGTCTCATGTACTCTGCTGTATTTTAGGCCCTCTGTCCTGAATTGTGCTTGTGAAAAGATTCTTGGCACATATCAACTCCTTGGAAAACAAGAGCCTGCACTGTGGAATTCTTCTTCTGCCAAATAGTAAACAGATGATATTTATGAAATTACTTTCTGTGTACATGAGTACTCTGTGCTTCAAATATTGTTAGAGGTATTAAAATTTGGTCTGATACATATTAGGTTATCCATACATGAGGGCTGGAAGGATAGTTCAGAGATAGAGTACTTGCCTGCCAAACACAAGGCCCTGGGTTCAAATCTCATCACTGCAAATTGTCCATAAATCGTATTTATTGTTATGATCAATATTAGTCATCTCCTCCCTTCTCTTTCTCTCTCTCTCTTTCCTCTCCCTGTGTGCGTATACCAGGGCTTGAACTCAGGGCCTAGGCGGTCTACTTGAACCACAGCTCTACTTTTGACTTTTTGGTAGTTCACTGGAGATAAACGTTTTCCACATTTTTCTGCCAGGGCAGGCTTCAAACCATGATCCTCAGATAGCAGTCTCTTGAGCAGCAAAGATGACAGGCATGAGAAGCCAATGCCCAAAGAGCCCTTCCTTTTCTGACATACTCTATGTCCCACTGTTTCTTTAAAGAACCATTTCACACTTTGGTGGTAGGGCACCAGCCTTGAGTATGAAAAAAACAAAGCTAAGGAACAGCATCCAGACCCTGATTTTAAGCCCTAGTACCGGCACCAAAAGAAATGCAGCAATCCTTTGAAAGGGAGTCCTCCCTTCATGACACAGAGAGGTAATTCTGCTGACTGTTCCCATCAGGTCCTTTTCCCTCCTCTTCTAGAACGTTCTTCTTTGCCTCACAGTCATCACTGAATGCAGAGGCCCTAAGAGCCAACTGGTGCTGGCCTTCCCAGCTGAGGTGCTTGCCTGGAATGAACTCATCCATAGAAAGAGGACTGCTATTTTGTATGTGTGCAGATACTGAGTCAATTGGAGTTAAAAGTCTCATGGACTTTTCTGCTTTGGCTGGCTTTGAACTGGAACCTCAGATCTCACCCTCCTGAGTGGCTAGGATTACAGACATGAGCTACCTGTACCCAGTGCCCAGCATCTCCCTCTTTTCTTTTCTTTTCTTTTCCTTTCTTTCCTTTTAGGATTATATGTGGAGCCACAGGCTCTTTTGATTCTGTGAAGTGAGGAGCACTTGAAAGCCAGTAGATTTTTATGTTCTCTCAAATTAAATTTATATTAGATTTTGGGCTAAATCTTATTAAGCTTGTTTGTGTGAGGGCTGTTGGAAACAAATTTATACAGAAAACAGACCATTTATTTTAGAAGAAACCAAACTAGGAGGAAAGGGAAGGTTAGCTCAAAACTTCCCTCATACCATTTAAAAGCAGCAGTCCTAAGTGGGGCCCTGGTGGCTCATGCCTGTAATCCTAGCTACTGAGGAGGCTGAGATCTGAGGATCCTGACTGAAAGCCAGCCAGGGCTGTAAGACTCTTACCTCCAGTTAACCACCAAAAAGCCAGAAGGGGAGCAGTAGCTCAAGTTGTAGAGTACTAGCCTTGAGCAAAAGAGCTCATGGACAGTGCTTAGGCCCTGAGTTCAAGCTCCAGAAATGGCACAAAACAAACAAACATATCTTGGTGTATCCATTAATGATTGATTTGTTCAAGGACTATTCTAGATGTAGGCAGATGCAGAAAAGATCAACAGAGACAAAACTCTCAGTACCACG